TCCACCACAGTTGTTTTCCGTGGTCTTCCGGGTCTTTTGGTGTTGCTGAGCTCACCAGTGCATTCCTTCTTTTTAAGAATGTTCCAAACAGTTGTTTTGGCCACGCCTAATGTTTTTGCTATCTCTCTGATGGGTTTGTTTTTTGTTTTTTCAGCCTAATGATGGCTTGCTTCACTGATAGTGACAGCTCTTTGGATCTCATCTTGAGAGTTGACAGCAACAGATTCCAAATGCAAATAGCACACTTGAAATGAACTCTGGACCTTTTATCTGCTCATTGTAATTGGGATAATGAGGGAATAACACACACCTGGCCATAGAACAGCTGAGAAGCCAATTGTCCCATTACTTTTGGTCCATTAACAAGTGGGAGGCACATATCCAAACTGTTGTAATTCCTACACCGTTCACCTGATTTGGATGTACATACCCTCAAATTAAAGCTGACAGTCTGCAGTTAAAGCACATCTTGTTCGTTTCATTTCAAATCCATTGTGGTGGTGTATAGAGCCAAAAATGTTAGAATTGTGTTGATGTCCCAATATTTATGGACCTGACTGTATGCTTCCTGGTGAAAGGGGAATTTCCTGCTTAATATGTAGAACTGCATATTTGCATATTTAGTAATGCAATGTTTGTGCATTTGACATATGCTCTTATTTGTCTTTGTGTAAAGCCGAATATATACATACACATATATATATATATATATATATATATATATATATATATATATATATATATATATATATATATATATATATATATATAGATCGACTGGTTCACCAGGGACTGGCTGAATTTCGGTCCACATATATACAACGAGGTTGTACAGAAGTTGATCTAAATCAAAAACTCACAAATGTCCTAGGTCCTCAAGAATATATAGGCTTCATAAATAATGGACTCAAACATTTACAACATGATTTGGGAGTCCCTAGCAAACCATACATGAAAAACAAAAAAAATAAAAAACTAGTTACGGACAAATCTGAACTGGGTCCTTTTACATAATCACAAAACTTTAGACAAATGCATCATACCAATCCACTTTTCATAATAAACAGAAGGGTTTTCCAATGTAATTTCTGGCCCAGCCATCCCAATGTGTTTTTCTGTCACTTACCTCATCCACAGGAGGTTTACTTTTTCATCAATTTATTTGACTGTTTGAACAGATTTTCAGATTTCAACATTTTTTAGATGGTCTCTCAACATTCACTTCCTGTGGGTCACCTCCCAGAAGCCTTCACTTCCTTGTTGCATCACAGTAGAGGATGTGATAGGTTGTGTTCCTCACAATATACAATTTGATTGTACAATCTCCTTTCGATCTCCCATCAGCTATGTAGTACAAGGATCTGTGTGATTTGATACAGACTGAATAGATTGTTCAGGTGTGTCGTCCTATTCCATAGTTCTGGTAAATCTAAAGGAAATTGTACAGAGATTTTACAATCAAATTTGCATAGTGTATGGCCAGCTCTATACAAGTACATAGGAGGGAGACACTCAGTTGTCAGGCCTCATTCACATCTCCATGTAGTGAAGACTCACATTCCTGTATGCGGTTGTTTTGTGCGTTTTGGAGCGTTTTCACTCGTCGTGCATATGGAAACCCATTCACTTGAACGGTCTGCCCTACACACAGCAATCGCCCAGAAAATTATTATTATTATTTCAGGTACTTGTATAGCGCCGTCAATTTATGCAGCATATACATATATATTGTACATTCACATCAGTCCCTAACCCTCAAGGGGAATACAATCTAAGGTCCCTAACTTACATTCATACATACACATACTAGGGATAATTTAGACAGGTTTCAATTAACCTACCAGCATGTCTTTGGAGTGTGGGAGGAAACCGGAGTACCCGGAAGAAACCCACGCAGTCACAGGGAGAACATGCAAACTCCAGGCAGGTGGTGCTGTGGCTGGGATACGAACCAGCGACCCTAGTACTGCCAGGCGGAAGTGCTGACCATTTAGCCACTGTGCTGCCCCAAAAAGCTCCAGAACTTTTTTTTGGAGCGGAGCACGGTGCATTAGTGCAGTTTTTGGTGCATTTGCCACACTTGAGGTGCCTTTTAACATGTAATGACAACACAAACATGATGCACATTTGCAGTGTTTCTGACATGCATGGAAAAGCAAGCATTTGCTTGCAGTTTGACATGCTTTCGTTAACACACAGATGTGAATGGGACCTCATTGTTCTGAGTAAACGCACCAATTTCACTTTCAGGCCCCATTCATGCCGAGAGTGCCAGGAGTGTGTCTCTTTTGGTTCTTTTTTTCAGTGACACACATAGGGCAGCCTGTTGATTGCAATGGGCTATGCTACATGTCACATAGTAGCTCATGGGACATTTTGGCTTGGTGTGTGTTGCACGTTTTTTTTGGTTTTTTTTTAACGGCATGTTTTGCTGCATCTGTCACCTGGTTTTTCATGTGGCAATATGTGGTGTTCTTCTATGTTTGGTGTGCCGTTAACAAGTAATTACACTGAAAGTGCAACTAGTTATTTTAGGTGTATAAAGGTGGCCATATACTATATAATCTGATTGTACAATCTCTGTACCATCTCCTTTAGATTTACCAAAACTATAGAATAGGATACACCATCTATCCAATTGCACTACATCATGGGTGTGCCGTGGGCTGCATACAGCCTGAGCCCATCTGTAGACACTGGGGTAGCCAGACAAATGCACGTAGGGAGAAATCCCAGTGATGCTATGAAAAAAATAGTTGATGAGTGAAGGGTGTTTACTAATGAGGTAATTGCAGCATGTGTGTCCTAATGAGATTAGCTGGTAATCTGCTTCCGGGGTCCTACTGGCTCCTCTGTCCTCTCTCTACATTCCTGGAATTGAAAAAGCTTTTCATGAAATTTACCAAAGGCTAAAGTAGGCCTTGTTCTTCAGATCCAAGAGAGCTGAAATATTGCAACTGAGGTACATTAATGCTATAATGGTACATACGGGAGTTGGATTTTATTTAAGAAAAAAAAAAGTGAACTCAGCCTTTAACCAGTTCTGCGCCGCCCTATAGCAGAAATACTGTTACAGGGTGGCACGGGTGCACATAATCACGTGTGTATATATGCGTGATTTTGCGTGCACGCCCTACCCGCACCACCGTTCACAGCCTTGGCTGTCAGTCACCGGGTCCCGACCGGTAATTACTCGCCGGCACCCAGTGATCATCAAGAATCTCTAACGGGGGGAGAGACCTGTATGTAAGCAATACAGATCTCTCTCCTGTCAGCTTCTGCTTTGTATGGTTCTACATAGCACAGCCATACAAAAGCAGTGTGCTTACGGTGAAGCACACACACAGCCTCCATAGTGAAACAGAACACAGTTAACGCTTTGATCACCCCAGATGTTGACCCCTTCATGCCCAGGGCCATTAGTACAGTGTCAGTGCTTTTTATTAGCACTGATCACTGTATTGATGTCACTGAGGATGTCAGTGACACCAAGTCTGTTCCTCCCAGTGTCAGAATGCTTGCTGCAGTTCCTCTATAAGTCGCTAATCGCCGCCATTACTTTTTTAAATTCCAGTAGGTATAGTGCCATTTGTAAACATTATAACTTTCACATAAACTAGAACATAAAACACCAGAGAAATGTTGAACGTCTATTGCTGGCAATGAGAGGATGGTGGGCGACATACCCGTCTCAATTCCTGTGTCTTTTTTGAAGGGCATACCGAGTGCCAAGGTGCCTTCCCAAAGCACTTTCAGTAGGAAACCGCACTTAGCCCTAGTTCACATATATGCGGCTGTGCAGGCCACGTTTTGCGTGGGCACAAGAGCTCATTCATTTGAATGGACTCCCGTGACACGCAGAGAAGTCGTCCCTGCACTTCTTCTGAAATTGCAGCCTGTACAGGAACCTCGGTTCCCAGTATGGTTGTGTTTTCCAGTGCAAGCTGCATGCTATCAGAACTAATAGCACCAGCCCGCGGTTCCGCATACCTCTGTGCGGGTGGTGCGGCTGCATGGATTTTCATGCAGATTCGCAGCGGCACCACCTGCACAGATGTGAACCTAGCCTTAGTCTGCATTAGCATGGCTAGGGGATGCATTCTTGGGACCCATTTAGAAACCTATCCACACCCATTTTAAAGCAAACTTATGAATCAGCTAGGACGAACGTTTCTATGGATGCCAGTTGTAAGTTTCTATAGATCACACAGTAAAAAAATAAACCCTCTGTATGTGGCGGTTAAACCTCTTATTTTCTGCAGTCACCAAGAGTGCCTTTGTGTTTTTTGTAGAGACTTCTGTATTATGAATTATGTATGATCATATCCCATCCAAATCACATTTCTCAAGGGAGAAAGCATGCTGTTCAATTAATCTTTTCTTATAGCTGAGGTTCCCTATGCCCTTTATTAATTTAGTTGCAACTATTCCATTCTTACAGACCTTTTGGTGATATGGTGCCTGAAACTGAACTGCAAATTTAAGACAAGGTTTTTATTAATTATACTGAAAAAGATGGTCTCTCTTAGGACATCAGACCCTGCAATGAGGTGATGGCCATCATTGTCATCTTTATTTAACCACTTGCCCTCCAGAGGATTTACCCCCCTTCCTGACCAGGCCATTTTTTGCGATACGGCGCTGTTACTTTAACTGACAATTGTGCAGTCAATGAAATTGATGTCCTTTTTTTTCCCACAAAAAGAGCTTTCTTCTGTGTTATGTGATCACCTCTGCGGTTTTTATTTTTTTGCGCTATAAACAAAAAAAGTAATGAAGACAATTTTGAAAAAAACAAACCCCATATTTTGACTTTTTGCTATAAAGCATGTCCAATAAAAAAATTTAAAAAATCAAATTTCTTCCTAAATTTAGAACAAAATTCCCAATACATGTAAAATTAATTGGTTTATGTGAAAGTTATAACATTTACAAATGGCGGTATATATATACTGGAATTTTTTATTTTTTTTATACTAGTAATGGCGGCGATCAGCGACTTATAGCGGGACTGCGGCGGGTATTCTGAGACAGGGTGGGAACTGACTAACTGCCACTGACATCCCCAGTGACACTAATACAGTGATCAGTGCTAATAAAAAGCACTGACACTGTACTAATGACACTGGGCAGGAAGGGGTTAACATCTGGGGCGATCAAACGGTTAACTGTGTGCTGTGTGTGTTGTGCTGTTTTACTAGGGAGACATGCTGTGTAGAGATACAAAACAACATGTCCATGCTGACAGGAGAGACCTGTGTTGTTTACACACAGGTCTCTCCCCTGTCAGCTTTCCCCGACAATCACCAAGTGCCGGCCGGGACCCGGTGATTGACATCTCTAGCCACCATTAGCTGCGCGGGTAGGGTGGTGTGTGCACGCCCCTTACCTGCAAATGCAATGTGTGTATATATACACATGTGATTTTGCGCAGCCCTGCCGCCCAGTAGCAGTTGCAATTACCCCACTTTCATTAAAGCGGTCGTAAAGGTTATTAAAAAAAAAAAGTTAAGAGCATAACATGGCACCATGTATTGCATACTAGCACATTATGAAAGACTTGCCTTAAAACGAAGCCCTCCATCATTGCACTGTCTCTCCGCTCACTGGGCTTCCATCTTTACCTATTCCATATTCCTTATGGGTTTGTGGGCTGTGACCGCTGTGGCGGCTAGAGATGTCAATCACCGGGGAAAGCTGACAGGGGAGAGACCTGTGTGTCAGCAAGTATAAACCCCAGTCTGTCTGCCTTTGCATATTAAAGCGGAACAATACTCACCTTGGCTCCAGCAATGTGGTGTCTCTTCGGGCAATGGATTCCGGGTCTCCATCACCAGCCGCTATCATTGGCGGGGATAACGTCTGTCAGATTTGGCATTGCCAGCTTGTACAGTGAGCTGTGCATGCGTGGCTCATTGTACAGGGGCAGACAGGCAGATCAATATCTTTCATGCAAAAGAGACCAAGCATGTCTCTTGTTAAATAAAATGTCTGACTGTTCGCTCCTTTTTAATTGTGGTCTAAAATTCCATTGGGGGGGCTGGGGGTAGTTGGGGTGGCACTACAAATGTTGTAAGCGTAACCTAAAGAAGTTCTGTAGTCTCAGCATACACTTTGGTTTTTTTTTTTTTTTCTTTTTTTAAATCAGCATTGTAATAGCTATATGAACAATTTATATTTTTGACAATCCAACCAATCAAGCTTACTTGAAAAATCTCCTTTCATGTTGTGAGTTCTGTCTGCTGGTTATCTCTTTCCACAACTTCCTGGATTCCTGATTTGCAGCCTCTGCTCTCTCTTACTTTCCATTTCTAAGGACTACATATCCCATGGTACCTTGTCTCCTGCAATTACTGATTCCTGTATTGACTCCTCCTCCTCATCACCTCTGTAGGCAGGCTTTGTGTAATGTGTGACACAGCAGTGCCTACTCACAGGGCATAGTGAGTATGTCACAGAATTCAAAGAAGTAAATCTGTATGGATCATCACCGATATCATTCAAATAATAGGAGTCTGCTAAAAAATAATTGAAATAAAATGCAAAATGAATTTGATTGTAAATTGTAACCATAGATACATTATTGGAGGAATTAAAAAAGTCTTTGCAAAAGCACCAAGTATTGCAAACATAATGTATGATGTTTTCTCAGATAAATGTATTCATTTATGGATGGATCACTTTGTCATGTCTCCATTTTTGTTTCTTCCAGGTTATCGTATCACTAGGAATTATAATCTACAAGGCACTTGATTATGGCTTGAAAGACAATGAGGAAAGGGAGCTGAGTCCTCCCCTGGAGCGCCTAATAGACAACATGACCAATATTGATGAGACTGATGGCAGCACTGATGAAGGATATGATGCTCTGGATGAGGAAGATGAGGATGCTAGTGAGAAAGCAATGCCAGAATTTCGTCATTCTTATAAGAGTGTCATGAAGGTATGCAATTTCTTTTATGCATTGGGATTGTACAAAGGTGGTAATTCGCATGAGTGACGTATTTCGTAACATGTTTTAGTATTGGGGATTTTGCCGTCACATGTTCTATGTTTTGGTTAAGAAAGTAGAAGACTGGAATGCACATACAGTCATGGCCGAAATTGTTGGCACCCTTGATATTTTTCCTGAAAATCAAGTATTTCACACAAAAAAGGTATTGCATTAACACATGTTTTGCTATACACATGTTTATTCCCTTTGTATGTATTGGAACAAATATAAAACAGAGGCAGAAAAGCAAATATGACATAATGTCACACAAAACCCCAAAAATGGGCTGGACAAAAGTATTGGCACCCTTAACTTAATATTTGGTTGCACACCCTTTGGAAAACATAACTGAAATCAGTCGCTTCCTATAACCATCAATAAGCTTCTGACACCTCTCACCCGGAATTTTGGACCACTCTTCCTTTGCAAACAGCTCCAGGTCTCTCTTATTGGAAGGACACCTTTTCCCAACAGCAATTTTAAGATCTCTCCACAGGTGTTCAATGGGATTTAGATCTGGGCTCATTGCTGGCCACTTCAGAACTCTCCAGCGCTTCTTTGCCATCCATTTCTGAGTGCTTTTTGACGTATGTTTGGGGTCATTGTCCTGCTGGAAGACCCAGGATCTTGGACGCAAACCCAGCTTTCTGACACTGGGCCCTACAGTGCGACCCAAAATCCTTTGGTAATCCTCAGATTTCATGATGCCTTGCACACAGTCAAGGCACCCAGTGCCAGAGGCAGCAAAACAACCCCAAAACATCATTGAACCTCCACCATATTTTACCGTAGGTACTGTGTTTTGTTCTTTGTAGGCCTCATTCCGTTTTCGGTAAACAGTAGAATGATGTGCTTTACCGAAAAGCTCTATCTTGGTCTCATCTGTCCACAAGACGTTTTCCCAGAAGGCTTTTGGCTTACTCAAGTACATTTTGGCAAACTGTAGTCTTGCTTTTTTATGTCTCTGTGTCAGCAGTGGGGTCCTCCTGGGTCTCCTGCCATAGCGTTTCATTTCATTTAAATGTCGACGGATAGTTCGCGCTGACACTGATGCTCCCTGAGCCTGCAGGACAGCTTGAATGTCTTTGGAACATGTTTGGGGCTGCTTATCCACCATCCGGACTATTCTGCGTTGCAATCTTTCATCAATTTTCCTCATCCGTCCACGACCAGGGAGATTAGCTACAGTGCCATGGGTTGCAAACTTCTTGATAATGTTGCGCACTGTGGACAAAGGCAAATCTAGTTCTCTGGAGATGGACTTGTAACCTTGAGATTGTTGATATTTTGCCACAATTTTGGTTCTCAGGTCCTCAGACAGTTCTCGTCTCCTCTTTCTGTTGTCCATGCTTAGTGTGGCACAGACAGACACACAATGCAAAGGTTAAGTGAATGTCTCTCCTTTTTATCTGCTTTCAGGTGTGATTTCTATATTGCCCACACCTGTTACTTGCCCCAGGTGAGTTTACAGGAGCATCACATGCTTGTAACATTCTTATTTATCCGCAGTTGTGAAAGGGTGCCAATACTTTTGTCCAGCCCATTTTTGGAGGTTTGTGTGACATTATGTCGAATTTGCTTTCTTTCCTCCCTTTTTTTGTTTTGTCCCAATACACACAAAGGGAATAAACATGTGTATAGCAAAACATGTGTTAATGCAATACGTTTCGTGAGAAATACATGATTTCCTGGAGAAATATCAAGGGTGCCAACAATTTCGGCCATGACTGTATATTATTAATAAAACCTAAGTGCTCAGAGCCGATAGATGAGACGATGCAGTTTAAACGGCCTTTCCTATTTTGTATGTAATGAGAAAGCGGCTTATATGCAATCTTGCAGCCCTCCAAGACCAGAAACCTCAGGATTTGCTTTGTGTTAGTTTGAATAAATATTCATGGTTCAATATTCCATGAAAACATTATTCCTTTTAAGTTATTCAGGGTTTTTTTTTTTCTTTTTTTTCTGTAGATCAGAGTTTATAAAGTTAATCTCATTTCTGCATTTTTTGTGAATAGATCATAGGTTTAAGGTAAAGAAACTCAGTTTTTAATGCAATTTAATTTTTAACAGAAAAAAAAGCCTTAAAAAAGAACTAAACTGAAAAAGTAAAAAGTTGCAAGAAACCTTTACTGCAGAAGAGACATACTGTGGCTCCTCTGCAATAAAACAAACTTCCCTGCCTGTTCACAGTCTTTTATACGATGTACATTGAGCTGTAACTGCTTTAGGTCCCTTGCACACGGGGCGGACTTCATTGAGATCTCCAAGGGATCTGTCCGGTCATCCCCTGCTGATCAGAGCAAAACTGGCAAGATGACACATCCGTGTTGCTCAGTTTTTGCAGAATGTACACAGACCGAGCCGACTCTGCTCTAAGCCCTGGTTCACATATATGTGGCCGTGTGGGCCGCGTTTTGTGCGGGCACGGAGCCCTTTCATTTGAATGGACTCCCATGCCCCATGACACGCAGAGAGTCCTGGTTCACATATATGCGGCCATGTGGGCCACATTTTGCACGGGAAAAAGAGCCCATTCATTTGACACATTCGTGTTGCTCAGTTTCTGCATAATGGACACAGACCGAGCCGACTGTGGTCTAAGCCCTGGTGCACATATATGCGGCTGGGCAGGCCGCGTTTTGCGCGGGCACAAGAGCCCATTAATTTGAATGGACTCCTGTGCCCCATGACACGCAGAGAACCCTGGTTCATATATATGCAGCCGTGCGGGCCGCGTTTTGCGTGGGCACAAGAGCCCATTCATTTAAATGGACTCCTGTGCCCCATGACAAGCAGAGAAGAAGTCCCTGCACTTCTTCTGAAACCGCAGCCCGCACGGGAACCTCGATTCCCAGTATGGTTGCGTTTTCCAATTTGGGTGGCGTGCCATTAGAATTAATGGCACCCGCCCGTGGGTCTACATTCCTCTGTGCGGGGGTGCGGCTGCACAGATTTTCGTGCGGATCCGCAGCGGCACCACCCGCACAGATGTGAACCTAGCCAGAGGTCCCTGCACTGCTTCTGAAAATGCAGTCCACACGGGAACCTCGGTTCCCAGTAAGGTTGTGTTTTCATGTGCAGGCGGCGTGCCATTAGAACTAATGGCACCCGCCCGCGGGTCCACATTCCTATGTGCGGGTGGTGTGGCTGCACGGATTTTCATACGGATCCGCAAGGACACCACCTGCACAGATGTGAACCTAGCCTTAGGGCGGCACCTGGCTGCCCTCTGATCCACCGAGACAGAGGATGACTGATCCCCTTGTTTGTTTTGTTGTTTTTAAGCAGATCGGATCAGATTGGAGGTAGGCGGATGTAAATGGACGCAAGTCAGTTTACACCTGCCAGTCCATAGGGGTGAATGTGACAGTTCGATCAGGTCCACCTGAAAAACTGATAGGCCCTAGTTGGACCTGCCGTGTGAAAGGACCTTTATTTTTCTTATAAGTAAAATTGGCAATCTGCCTCTGGGATGTGTAGGTACAGCGTCAGTAAGACAAATGTCACATGGCTGTACCTGCTGACTGCACGACATAAACCCATTTATAAAACCTTGGATGGGTTTGAAAAGTATTGTCAGAATTTTGTGATTAACATTATGTAATACTAGTGCAAACTAGCATATTTACATCCTTGCTTTCTCTCGCAGTTGTGGTGTAAATGTCAAAGGATAGATGCTGCAACATGGCAGCATCTCTCCTTATAGATTATATATTCATATTATGTAGCAAACCTCTCT